CTGCCACCTGCTGGGCACTTTGTAAACTGCAACTTAGGCAATGGAATCTTTATTATAGTGTCTGCTGCCTGCATCAAGCACTGTCTGGATGCCGACTATCCTTGCCTGCTGCCTGCATCAACCTCTGTCTGAATGCCGACTATCCATGCCTGCTGCCTGCCCCAACCTCTGTCTGGATGCCGACTATCCATGCCTGCTGCCTGCCCCAACCTCTGCTTGAAACCGACTATCCTTGCCTGCTGCCTGCCCCAACCCCTGCTTGAAAATGGACTATCCCTGCCTTCTGTCTACCTCATCCTGTGCTGTGAAACCGACTATCCTTGCCTGCTGCCTGCCTCAACCTCTGCCTGGAAACTGACTACCCTTGCCTGGTGCCTGCCTTGACCTCTGCCTGGAAATATGTAATACCCCTAGTGTTTGGCAAGCTGCAATACTAAGGAAGTATATAAACACTTTCCCAACAAACTATCCTTGCCTGCTGCCTGCCTCAATGTCTGCCTGGAAACCAACTATCCTTGCCTGCTGCCTGCATTGACTTCTGCCTGGAAACCAACTATCCTTGCCTGCGGCCTGCCTCAGCCTCTCCTGTGAAACCAACTATCACTGCCTGCTACCTGCCTTCTCCTCTGCCTAGAAACCAACTATCACTGCCTGCTACCTGCCTTCTCCTCTGCCTAGAAACCAACTATCACTGCCTGCTTCCTGCCTTGACCTGTGCCAGGAAACAAAATATGCTTGCCTGCTGCCTGCCTCAATGTCTGCCTGGAAACCAACTACCCTTGCCTGCTGCCTGCCTTGACTTCTGCCTGGAAATTAACTATCCTTGCCTGCTGCCTGCCTTGACTTTATAAGAATACTATATTTCTTAAAAAATGTTTAATTGATAAGTGCCTGAGATCATCCAATCGACCCAACGCTATTCGCTAGGATAATCTGATAAGGAATGAGTCACTGCATCGTTGTGTCGTCATTCACTTTTGTTTGTAAATTTGAGCTTGAGCTATTGATCTCAGTAAACAGGCTTTTTGCAGGGCGAAGTGAGGAGACAGAAGCCCCACCTGCTGGTTGGATTGAAGAATACACATTATCCATCCCCAATATTTGTATATATATGACTATATTTAAAAAAAACAAGCCACATTGTTTTAATTCTGACCATAATAAACAAATAAAGATACAATGTATAAAAGCCGCTCCACATCCCCTGTAACAGCAGCAGCAGCGGAGGAGGAGGAGGGGCTTACTTACAAAGAGGTGATGCCGGAACCCAGGGTCTTTTTTTTTTTTGTGGGCATTGGATGCTCAACAAGAGCCGGGAAGATAACACAAAGGACGAAAAGATGATTAACAACGGAGGACGAATGATCCGGAGTGACTCACCGCGGCTGGATCTCAGCTTGAGAGGCCCCATATTATTACGGCGTAATAATATCATTATCCGAGCATTAACCCCTGAGCTGCCAGCAAAGCCGTTACTGCAATTCCGTAAGAAATACCCCCTGCAAGGTGTGCAAAGTGTTCGAGTTGCCGAATCTCCTTACACACCCCCTCTGTAGTTTCTGTATCATTGCCTACCAGTCCAGCCTTGCTGATCAGTGCAGCCCGGTGATAAATAGTTAAAGCGATTGTACGGAGAGGATTACCTGAGCTGGTGAGTGACAGGACAAAGCTGCGCAATCCTTCAGCATGGCAGAAAGAGAGTCACATGACCGCGTCTGAAACCCCCGAGAGACATCTTTGTTCAGTCAAGTTGCCCACAACACGGCTACCAGCATCTGAAATGAGTTTAAAGGGACGCTGTTGATGAAGTTGGTAATTTAATAATAATTATCAATAACAATAGTTATATTAAATAATAATAATAAAATTACTGAGAGCGACAATACATTCTATAACAATTCATTTATAAAAAACACTTTTTTTAAAAAAAATAAACCTTTGCCTTGCTCATGTCCAGATCACTTTATTGCAGGATGGCGGGATAGTGCAGACAAGAAAAAAAAAAAAAATTTAAATAAATAAAAAATTAGAGGTCATTGTGTTGTTGTTTAGTCCCAAGGGTCCAGGACATGGCCTGGAGCTGACTGTAATGTAACGTGTTGCAGAACCCAGGACTGGATCTAGACTAGGGTTGCCACCTGTCCAGGATTGAGCCGGACAGTTCGGGTTTTGAATGCTGTGTTCGGGTTTCATGGCAGCAGAAACCCGGACACGAGATGTCAGGCAGACAGGGGCAACCAAAATAAAGATAGCGGCTACTGGCCCCCCACTAAAAATAGTCTCAACTATGGCATTTACATATGAATGGGCGGCGCTATTTACATATGAATAAGCTGCGACTCGTTCTCCCAAGAAAAAATGTCTGCGCGTCACTAGAGTGTTCGGGTTTCGCTTGAAGAAAAGGTGGCAACCCTAATCTAGACTGACACTGTTGGGCAGTAGGGTTGCCACCTGTCCGGGATTCACCGGGACAGGTGGACTATGTGATGTACTATAGATTGTGTAGAATGTAGCAGTCCGGACTGTGACCTGGCTCTGCCCCATCAACTAATAGTGAGCAATAGTCCGCGGTCGGCTGACTTTGGGACACAGGAGGACATTAGTAAATCTACTCCTGTGACAAAGAAAAAAAAAAAGGATTGACTTTACTTCTCTTCAATGTAATAAGTGTGATACATGAAATGTAGCAACTGAAAAGTCCCGGAATGTTCCGATAGTATGGGGATGTGGAGGAGCGGTGATCATTTCCTGGTCTATCTTTATATGACGGAAACAACAAAACATCGGAGTCAGGAAAGCAAAGCCGTGCCTGCAGAGATTTGATGGCGGGTGCTGGACCGCGCATTGGACATGGGGCCCGGGAGGGTTGCCACCTTTGTTCTGGCAAACTTAGAGATAGGAGGTGGAGCCGGGAGCGGGAGTGATAGCAGCATACGAAGTGTGCCGCCGATCATCTGTATTAGGTGGGCTGAACGTCACTGGCATCAGCACAGCATGATGATGTTGTCCTCTTCTTGGCACCTGGGGGGGGGTCCTCCTTTCAGATCAGAGTCCTACCAGTACCATCACATCAGAGCCCCCCTTCAATTCAGAGCCCCTCTTTAAATCAGAGCCACTCACATCAGTGTCCCCACAGTGTCATGTGTTTGCATGGCACAAGCTGAGCAGCCAAAAAAAAAGAGGAAGATTTTGTGGGTAGGAAGACTGCGGTATAGGAGTGCAATGTATATTAGTATGTTAGTATATTCCAATGGGGGGGCATATGTTCTCATCACTTTGGGAGATTTCCTCTAACTTCCTGTTGTGTCTGCTGGACAGGAAGTGAAGGTAAACCTCCCCAAATGGGACACAGACAGCAAAAATACCTAGCCCTACTCTATCCAAAACTAAAGAATACGTTTTGGCTATATGTGCACATTAAATGTGTTTGTATACTTAACGCCGGTGCTAAAAGAGATATGCAACAAAAACATGTAACATTACCCAATCATATTTATGGCTCTTTTTCTGTTTAAGGGTGGCTCTGCAAATTGACCCCACACTGTGTTATCTCCCTAATCTCCCACCTCTGCACAGTAAAGGGAAGACACCCGCATTATTATCATCAGGTTCCTTTGCACTTACACCCCGATATTACCTTTGCCCACACTGTTGCCAGTACTAAACATGGTGGCTGCGATCTCCCGGGCTCTTCGGACATGCGCGAAGGTGTCTGCATTGGTGGTTTCCCTGGCAACCTGCAGACGCGGAGAAGGAGTGCAGCCACAGACGGGGAGCCAGCGGCTGGTTTCCGAGCGATTTCCCAAAGTGTTGTTGGGCGGCAGAGCGAGGGAGGCGGCATGGCGGAGGTGAGACCTGGTGGGCCGGGGTACACTCAGGATATCGGGGTTCACCAGCTAGGGTGAAGGGGCGGGGCGGGACTACAAGTCCCACAATACCCTGCCAGACAGAAGTTGTGTATATGTGTGTGGCAGAAGCTGGCAGGACATGCTGGGACTGATAGTCCCCCTTCACAGCTGTGGCTGTGTGTCTGTGGATGCTTCCATCGTGTGGCACTACAAGTCCCAGCATGTGAGGAACCTTGTGTCCATTGAGGAGCAGTGTGTATGTATATGGCCGGGTCAGCTTGTGTTACTTATCAACATAAAGAAATAAGTACAAAATAATAATTCAAATATCTGTTTTTATTATTATTATATTGTTACATTATACTGTATTATGTTATTTATGTTTTCTTTATATTATTATGAATAATAATAATATACTACATAAT